TATCTATCTATCTATCTATCTATCTATCTATCTATCTATCTATCTATATCTATACACACGCGCACACACACACACACACACACACACACACACACACACACTTCTCCAGTCTTGCATTTCTTTCTTCCATCCTCAGATTTACTACTGCTGAGAGCAACACATGGCCAGGAAGGAAAGAGCCCCACGAGGCCAGCAGCGGCACATGCAGCAGACTCAGCAGCCAGGCAGAGGCATAGGGGGAAGATGACCCTGATGTGTTGCACAGCCTTCTGCCTAATCGTAGCAGCAGTCCGAGCAAGACCCGAGCTCCAGTGTCCCAGCAGTAGCAAGGGTAGCAGGCAGGGAAGGTGGAGGCCAGGGCATGCTGAGAGCTTGCTCTGTTATGGCCTCAGGCAAGTAGATGTTGGGACAGAGGACTCCTGTCAGCCCCCATGCTGGCCACTTCCTGTAGGTGAAAAAAAATAAGACATCCCAGAAAATAAGTCCTAGTCCCGTGATGGCGAACCTATGGCACGTATGCCGGAAGTGGCACACAGAGCCACTTCTGCTGGCACACTAGAGGTTGCCCAGAAGATCCCCACTGTGTATGCATGTGTGCCCCCTGCCAGCCAGCTGTTTGTCAGGTATCTGCCACACATGCGCGGGGGGAGATGCATGTATGGGAGACACATGTGCATGCACAGAGGCATGCGGCATGTGGAGGTTGCATACGCATGCGCAGAGTTGTAAAGTGCAAGAGAGTCATGTGTGAATGCACGGGATGGGGGGAGTAGCGCGCGCATTGCATCATGGGTGCAGGTATGCGAGCACGCGCACGCGACTGCACTTTTGGCACGCAACATGGAAAAGGTTAACTATCACTTTCCTAGTCCTTATTTTCGAGCCCAAAAGAAAATGACCGGGTCTTATTTTCGGGAAAACACAGTGTCAGGATTCCGGCAGTTACCCCAATTAAATCATGAGTCCCGAGCCAAACTTCCAAAACTTCAAAGGGATTTATTGGGAGTTAATATGTCCGGCACTGCCTGGGTGTAGCTGACTCTGAGACACATAATTCATTTTCACCCTTGACCCTGGTTTTCCCCCACCCCCTGGGTGTAGGAAATATTTCTATGGTCTTTTTAGAGTTGCCACAGAGTATATCTAGAATTGAGCAGAGGTTACTGTTCATTCAGTAGGAGAAACAAAGCTTCTAACCATGTAGTTGAGGTATCAACCTTACAAAACGTCTAACAGGTATGATTCTTGAGGCCAAGTCTGGCAATCTCTCTTTAAACTCTTTTAGATGATCAAGAACTGAAAGTGCCTCGATATGGTGGAGCTATAGAAATGAGTTTTCTACAGTCATCCTAGATTACAAAATAGTTGCTTTCCATTTAGATGCATTTGCTGAAAGATAAATTATTTTGCATTATCTTGTCTAGCACTTGTCCACTTTAATGAAAGAGACTGTTGGAAAAAAAATTCATAGGTTGATGAGTGTTTTTCTTTTTACCATAATTATGAAGTGGCCAATATGCTGTGTGGCTAACTTGTCTTCTTTGAACAAATTTCTCTCTATTGATCTGCATAATTTCTGTTTCCTACCCTTCAGTTAAATCACAAAGAAAGACTTGACTTGTTTAATAGCTGTGCTATTGTCACTGCTAAGTGGGAATCCTGCTTTTGATAAATTTTTGGATAATTTCCCTAGAGGTGTCTTCCCCTAGAAATAGTTATAGAATAACAATTACCCTTTAAAAAGATATAAAAGGTAATGACGATAAATATAAAAGAGTGCTTTGCAGTTTGAGATAAAATAAAAGATGGTTGGATTACTGTCAAATTATAGGATTGGAATGAACGTAAGAAGTTACCTCCTGCTCAGGGCAAGTTCTATCAGTACATTTCTGACAGACAAATATTAAGCTTCTGTTTGAAGTCTGAAGTTCTCCAGCAAAAGAAAAACTCACATATTTATATGCAGTGGTGGGATTCAATATTTTTTTACTACTGGTTCTGTAGGCATGGCTTGGTGGGCATAGCAGGGAAGGATACTGTAAAATCTCCAGTCAGAGGTGGTATTTGCCGGTTCTTCGAACTACTCAAAATTTCTGCTACTGGTTCTCTAGAACTGGTCAGAACCTGCTGAATACCACCTCTGTTTATATGGCATCCTGTTCCACTGGCTGACAGCCATTCAGTATGGAAGAGCTTCCCAACACCTATAGTAAACCTACTTCTTATATTTTGAATCCATTAGTTCTTGAAAGGCAGTAAAAAACCATATCCACTCTTTCTTATGTGTGACCATTTCTCCATATTAAATTCCATACTATGCATTTTAGCTCAATCCTTTCAAGATAACAAAAAGCCATCAAACTGCAGTCACTTGGGCCGATGTTATCTACTTTGGTCATAAAAAGAATGTAAGAAGGAAACCAATCTCATCTGATGTCAAGATCTCAACATTTCAGCTCTGAACAACATACATTCTCCACTATTTTTAACAATTTGTTCAATGACCTTACCCTTTAGAGATGTCAAGTTAACAGATCAGAGGTGGTCTTCAGCAGGTTCTGACCAGTTCCGGAGAACCGGTAGTGGAAATTTTGAGTAGTTTGGAGAAGTGGCAAATACCACCTCTGACTGGAGATTTTACAGTATCCTTCCCCTACCACGCCCACCAAGCCACACCCACAGAACTGGTAGTAAAAAAAATTGAATCCTACCACTGTAAGCAGATCTGTTATTTCCTGGATTCTCCTTCTGCTCCTTACTGACAATGGGGAGGATCCTTAGTATTCTTCCAGTAATCTGGAATCATACAGCCTTTCAAGACTTCTCAAAGAATATTGAAAGTGATTCTGCAATTACCATTTCCCCTAGTTCCTTTGTATGCTTTGATGTAATGGCTGGCTATGGAGATTCAGATTAGCTAAATTCTTCCCTACCGTTTCCTTGTCTCCTCTAAGCTAAGTCTCCCTTCTTCTCTCACTATTGTAAAGATGACCAACTAGAACTTCCTTTAAGGGGAAAAGAGATGCGAGAGAAGTTTACAAATTCTGCTTCTCTCCATCAGCCATTAATATCACTTACCTCTTACACTTTTTTTTTTTTTTTTGGCTTTCCTGTTTAAAACATGATTATCTCCAAAGAGAAGACCTTAACAAATCCAGACTTTTGTTTTATATACCTCATAAACTTCAGCTTTTTTAAAAAAGCATTGGTCTTTTTGATACAGTTCATATGAGTTAATGATCTTATATTATTTGTTTATATATATCTCTTTCCCCATTTTCCATCCATATCCTTTTTTACATGCACCATTTTTAGATAACTCAGATGTTAATTTTCATGTGCTATTTGAGAAAAACATGGGCATATTTCAGGATCCAGTGTCAAGCCAATGGGTTCTCTGCTGTGCATCATCACCTGCCCTGTTAATTCAATTTAAGAGAGTATCCATTGCCCAGTACTGGCAATAGGAGGACATTATTCATCATACCTGAGAAAAATGGCGGAGCTTTAATAGCAATAGCACTTAGACTTATATACTGCTTCACAGTTTTTTATAGCCCTCTCCAAGCAATTTATAGTGTCAGCATCTTGCCCCCAACAATTTTGGTCCTTGTTTTACTGACCTTGGAAGGATGGAAGGCTGAGTCAACCTTGAGCCAGTGAGACTCAAACTGCTGGCAATCATCTGTCAGCAGAATTAGCCTGCAATACTGCATTTTAACCACTGAGAATAACTAGAGGTTTAGTAGGGCTGCCTCTCAGTATTGGAATATTTGCCTCGGTGTTCCAATGATAGAGCCAGTTGTGGATAGTCAGGAAAAAAAGTATTATCTAATGGCAACGCAAATAAAGACAAATGTTCCTATCCTATTTACAATGGGGATTATATCTGATGGTACAATGTTGGGAAAGCTCTCTCACTCTTTTGCTTTTCTTGTTCTATCTTGAACACAAATTCTTGTCAGGAATTCTGGTTTCAGTTTAGCCCAACAGTCATTGAATCGTTTCTTCATTTTTATTGCCAGTGGCATTGTTTACAAAACTGTACTGGGAAAAAAATGCACTGACTTGCTGATACTGCTATAAACAGAACTGGACTATGAGTCTTGAGAGATTATTCTGAATGAATGTCAACACTTATCCAAAGCAAATGCTCTCATGGGCTCCGAAATTGACAATAGCTAACTTGCCAACAGAGTTAAAAGAGGAAAAGAAGGAGGAGAATTTTCTGACCTGAATCATTTTTACAAGGTCTTTATAAACATCTCAAGTCAATTTGGAGCAGACTTTCCTTATTATGTGGTAGATATGTTTTGCTTGAGCTTCATTAGTTTCCTCAGAAAAGTTCTGCAAATAGGGGGAGGGGAAATTTAAAAAGTGGGGGCTAACCCATCAGTATCATTGATTGAGAAAATCTATGTGGTCGTTAACATTCAACACCAACATGATGGTAAATAATCAATTTCTTTTTTTTTAAGTATCATATAGATTAGGCCTTAACCACTTTTTCAATTCAAGAAGAAAAGAGACAACCATATAGCTATGAATGTGAGACTAGCATTTTAATTTGCAGTTTGTTTTCCTAAATCTTGTTCCAGACAAAATCCTAGTCAGAATGGATCATCGTTGGACTGACCTGGAGACAAGATGGGTTGTTACCAATCCATCAAATCTGGTCCTTGCAGCAGGACAGGTGAATTTTCACAGACCTAACATATGTAACACTTTCTTGTTACTCACAAAAGCCAAGAATAATACTTGGGGAGAAACAAAGACACAGGCTTGTGAAAATGTCACATGTGTATTTTCCAGTAAAAGTTGTCTAACAGGAAAGAGGTGTCACAATCCATTCGGTGGAGCTGCTCAAGCAGTTATTACTATTCTCTGCAAGCTAAGGTTAACAGAGGTCTCTTCCAGTGCCGGAATTTAAGATTCATTATTTTATTCCCTCAAGATGAAAATTCAGTCAAAAGAAAACATTGTAAAATGCCAGAATCAGTTTCAAATTAATTAGGTGTTCCACCCTCACTCTGCAGGGAAGTCTTTTTGCCAACACCCAAAGGGAAGGGATTGAAAGAAGAAAGAAGGTGCTTTGAAAAGAAACCAATGTTTCGAGATATACAAAAAGGACAGATTTAAGTTGCTTCATTTCTCTGAAAAGCATGTTAGACTTTCCCGGCCACACCCTACATTACCTTCTGAAGACTCTATTGTGGGCATGAGATAATTTTGTTTCTGCTCTTCTTTCACTTTAAAAAAAAACAATAACAAAAAGGCACCCTTCTTCCAGATTGAGCAGACACGCTAGATAATTCCGATTAAATGTCAGTGATTTGGTCTGATTCGAACATAATGAGGTGTTTGTTATTTTACAAGTCTGATGTAGTTTCAAAACTTGGCAATAAGGAGGAGTCTTGAAGACACTTAGCGTGGTTGTGACAACTTTCTTTTCAGGAACATCTGAAGACTTCAGGGAAAGGCTTTCACTTCACATATCTTTCATGTCATATATTCCCTTTCATACTATGCCCTTGGCTGAAGAGTCATCCTCAAATTAGAAGGATCAAGATGGAGCCATCAGGGAATTAGACACAGCTCCACCCTACCAACAGTACTCTGATGATATCAGGACCCGATATCACCTGGCTATGGTGATTCAGACCCTACCCTGGAGGCGCATCAACCAACACATGTGACGACAGAGCCAGAGAAATGCGAAGCTGCAGAAACACCTAGCACAAGTTACCCAAGAGCTTCCTGGTTGATCAGTGCTAACTATTTTCAGAAGATAAGAGCTTCCTGTCGGAAATGTACTACTGTGAGTTATTCAGGGGAAAAAAAAAGAGTATTTCTGAGATTATTGTTGCTCTGAGACAAAGTCTTGGCCTTTCTAAATAACTGCCTGATATGGTCAGTCGATTTCATATTTAGGAAAGACACTGGTTTGTCTGCAGAGAGCTCCAGAGAAATGTTCTTAAAATACCTAGATTTCTATTGTAATGATTTAGGCAGTTATGATAAAATGCTCTTCCTTCTTCAGCACTACGCTGTTGTGGCCTTTTCACAATTCCAAATATATTTTTAAAAGATATAGTTTTGGTGGTTATTTACTTTTGTTATTTTGTCATATTTCACTTGGCAACCCAAAGAAAGAGAATTGGCTGCTATCTAGCCTTTTTAGATCAGTGATTAAAGCCAGAATTGAATATAAATAAAGGAAAACACTTTCATATAATGAAGAAATCACTCCATATTCCTGTATAGTTCCTAAGTCCATGTGTGATGGATCCAGATATCCCTTATCACTTTCTAGAGAAACTGTAAGACATGCCCTGGCCAAACCCTAATCAAATTGTCATCTCAGGCTGATTTCTCTAAGATGCAGTCTTATTCTGAATTGATACTACAGGAATCTCCTGAAATATTGTTGATCAAGTCACTCAGTGCATTGATAGGTGAGTTTAAATCTTTGCCTTCCACATTAAAACAAACAGACAAACAACTCTTTGGATAAATTTAACACTTATTCTATTGGCATTGGAACTTCTGCATATAACTGCATATAAATAGTAACTATATATGAACTTTTGTAAAAAGATCCTCAAGTATGTGTACCATGTATAGGAGGTGCCAGCTTCTGTTTACTTAGTGCTTCATTGAAACATACACTTTAATCATGTGTGCCTACATATTGCGTTGTTGGAAGTTATAATCCACCCCCCTCCTCGAGAAATGAAATGAAATTCTTTAGGATATATTAAAAAATCAGAATATTTCCCCTAAAAGAGAAGTAGAAACTCAGAAGCAGAAGCTCACCCCTACCTTTGTTAATGGGTGGGCCATTAAGGCCTGGGCCAGAGTATTCTACAAAGCTCTCTACCCATCTCACCACATGGCCTGGGAAGATTGTATCAGCCAGCACCCAGGTGAAGCCATGTGGTCCAGACAAAGCCTACAAAGTTAGCTAAGACCCCTGCCCCTGGGAGTCTGGCAGCCAATGGGATACATTTCTTACACAGGAACAGGAAACACTAAGCTGTGGCCCAACAGAGGGTATAAAACTAAGGGTCTCTCAGCATCTTGCCCCTTCTTTTCCTTCACCCAAGATCTTGAAGTATGTGATCTGACAGTGTATGTGTATCTGATAGTGAGAACAATCAACCAATGGAACGGCTTGCCCTCAGAAGTTGTGAGAGGGTCATCACTTGAAACTTTCAAGGAGAGATTGGACTGCCATTTGTCAGAAATAGTGTAGGGTCTCCTGCTTGTGCAGGAGGTTGGACTAGATGACCTACAAGGTCCCTTCTAACTCTGATTCTCTGTTATCTGTGATTGTCCTTTTCACTTTGGAGCTCCAAGCTTATAGTTGGTGGTTCTGCTTCACCATTAAACCATCTTTCCAAGCAGTCACCATGTTTCCAGTGTCTTTCTTCCCCACTTGGAACTGAACCAAGAAGGATATTTCTTCAAACAACATACAACTAATTTTTTTTTTCTTAAATGATTTCAGGAAACATAAGTTGCTTGTAGATGTGCCAAGTTTCAATTGAACTTGAAGAGAAGAGGGTTTTTTTCCAACACAAAAGACTAACCTAGATTATTCTTGGGTTGAACTCATTATTACTTTCCCACAATTCATTTAAACAATCATTCTGATTTCAACAGTGTTTCACCAATAACTTCTGGAGGTGTCAATCTTACTTATTACTCAAGAATCTCAGTTGTTTTATCTCATTGCTCTTCACAGCCATCACAAAGACATTGTATTTTAGCTGAGACAAATTCTACCTTAGCTACCATTGTGGTTTTCTTTTTTTTTTCCTACCATGAACTATTCACACCACAGTGGCCAAAGAAGTGGTTTACCCTTTTATTTACACATACCGATAAGTAGAGATAGGGATGCAAGGACAGATTATCTTAAATTAGGATAATGCTTTAACAATATCTGATTTTAATCATTTGAAGTGGGAAGGCAATCCCAACCTTGGCTTGCCTTGCTCTGAATGAAGCAGTTGTTTCTAGCTGCATAAATTAGCACTAAACATGACACATTGATTACTGTTTTGTGTAGGCAGTTAAAACAGCTAGAAGAACCACAAACATAATAACTTTTTATTTTCTAGAAGATTTGATTTTCTACTAGGCAAAAATTTGATAGCTTTAGTTGTAAGCTGATAAATTAGAATTAGAAATCCAGAATGAAAGTTTAAGGTATCTGGCTAGAAACCGAGAGATTGGGACTTCTAGTTCCACCTTAGGCACAAAGCCAACTGGATGACTTTGAACCATAACAGATAACAGATAATCACAATTGGAAGGGACCATCTAGTCCAACCCCCCCGCCCAATTGGGAGACTCTACACCATTTCTGACTAATGGCAGTCGAACCTCTTCTTGAAACCCTCCAGTGAGGAAGCTCCCACAACTTCTGAAGGCAACTTCTGTTCCATTGGTTGATTGTTCTCACTATCAGAAAGTTTCTCCTTATTTCCAGGTTGAATCTCTTCTTGTTCAGTTTCCATCTATTAATCCTTGTCCAGCCTACAGGTGCTTTGGAAAGTAGCTTGACCCCTTCCACTCTGTGGCAGCCCCTCAAATATTGGAAGATTGCTATCACATCTCCCCCGGTCCTTCTCTTCACCAGACTAGCCAAGCCCAGTTCCTATAACCAGTCATTCATTCTCAGTCCCAGGAAGAAACCAAGGGCAAACAACTTCAAAATCTTGCCAAGCAAACTGCAGGGACTTGTCCAAGCAGTTACCAGTAGTCAACACTGACTCAAAAGCACAAAAACAGGAACCACTCCCACAATTAATTTTGACCCTACAGCACTAAAGATATATCTGGATAGAACTAGCTTCAAAGAAAAGATGTTTGAGGTTTAAGATCTGCTTCAAGATTTTCTTTGGGGAGCCACTTGCTGATTCTGACATTAGATGAGAATCTGCCCAGCCTCAATTTTTCTCCCCTTCATTGTGTCTCAGATATTTGGACAACTTCACCACTTTTACACTCCCATTTTACTGTTGGAGTTTTGTGTATGGATCATTAACCCAGCATCTTGCCTAATTTGTCAAATGTAAGAATGGAAAAAAAAAGTTTCTTTTACTTTCATGCAAATATACATAATTTCTATACCCGAACATAGACAAAAAACTTGTAAAATACAAATGCAGCCTGACATTCAGACTACTATTTTTTTTTTCTTGTTCCTTTTTTTCCCTTGTTGTTTTTCTGGAATTTGAAATGCAGATTACACACCTACAGACACAAGAAAGGTGTATTAGACTGATGGGGATAATGAATGAATTTGGAACAAAAGGGGTTTCAAAAGTTTGATTTGTACAAAAGGAGAAACACACACCCCAAACTCAAGGGTTCTTTGAAACTCTTTTATTTTTAGTAAGAAAATTTTAGATTGAGAAATTGATCACACAGTAATCCCTAGGAAATATCAGTATCATAGATTAGATTGTAAGGTGGTACAAGAGGAGATTGAAAAGGAGAAGAAACAACCCATCATCTTAGAAGTTCTACCATGTTTCTTAAAATAAAAAAAACTTTCAGGGAAGTTTGTATGATTAAACATAAAAATTGATTTGGAGAAAACTTTCCTTTTCGTTGTTCCAATACATCTATGTCTACATATCTATATTTATACTGTTGGAAGAAATATCTTTCTGGGTTCAGCTCCAAGTGGGGAAAAAGACATTGGAAACACGGAGGCTGTTTGGAAAGATGGTTTAAAGATGGACAGGGCCACATGGCTTGTAGCTCCAAAGTGAAAAGGACGATCACACGCTTCAAGATGTTGGGTGAAGGAAAAGAAGAAAGGATGAGATACTAAGAACATGCTTCATAAGCAAAAGGTATTCTTGCTACCAGTAGAAGGTTTCTGGTTAAATATTCTTGGCTATCCAACTCTTTTCTAATTAAAGCTTAATTCCTCTACTCAAATTAACCTAGGCGTTCTTTTTAAATATACAAATAAATGCCTTGGGGGTAGGACTAACAAAATAGTTCCATGGTCAGATAAATCTTGGAGGAAATTGAAATGTGACAGTGCAAAACACTAACACAACTCAATTCATAGTATGATTCAATCTGAAACCTTTCCAACATCTACTCAAACTGAGAAGTAAATAATATACAAAATATTATATAAATAATCTATAAGTTTGCAGATAAGTATGAGTTCTTCTCTTGAAAAAAAGATTATACCTGAATTTTCTCACAGTGGCACCATATTTGTTTTTCTTAACCTAGCTATTTGATTCAACAAAGGAAGAATCAAGGAACTTGGGCAATACTGCTATTCATTTCCTAATCAGGTTATTGACTCTTTTGCTTAGGGTCAAAATTACTATGCTCTCTAATTGAAATTCAAAACTGCTGGTGAAACAAGTCTTCAGTTCTTTTTTTTTCAAAAGGATGGGCTTTCTGCTAAGTGGCACCAAGATCTACCTAGGTTTTAATAGTGTTGGAAGAAATGTCCATCTGGGTTCAATTCCAAGTGGGAAGAAAGACACTGGGAACATGAAGGCTGCTTTGAAGGATGGTTTAACAGTGAAGCAGAAGCATCCAACCCGTGTGATTCTGGGTAGATGACCACATGGAAGAGAGAGGGAGATTTATACCTTCTCTTGGGCTTTGAATTTGATCTTCCTGTTCCTGTATTAAGGGTGCTATGGTTCACTGGCAGCCTGTGCAGATGGCAGCAGAATCAGACAGTGGGGAAGAAGAGGGAGGAGTTGGACGAGGGTCTTGTGTCTGATACAGAAATGGGGCCAGAACCATCTGGGAGTTATGTGCTGACTCTGGAGCCTCCAGAATCTGGCAGCAGCAAGGCAGAGGAACAAGGGGAGCTTGTCCCCAGTGCACCTGTGCACAGAGCTGGTAGAAGGCAAGAGCAGCTAAGAGAAAAGGGGCAACTCAGGAGTAAGGCTTGGAGGTGATTGCCCCTCCCATAAGGTATAAAGGAAGTGCAAACGTAGGAAAACCTTTGCAGGAAGCAATGTCATTCGTGCTGATTTGTTTGGACTCTGAAAGCTTCTCCATTTCAGTTTTAAAAGACTAACTGGGGCTTTAGTCATTGGCAGCACTTCAAATCAGATAAGGTGTGTTCTTATCAGAATTCTTCTGAAGAACTTTGGAAGATGTTCCTGGGACTTTTTATAACTGGTTGAAACTCATTCTGGGCTGTGAATGACGATAATTCACAGCCATTGAGCTAAAATAAAAGGGGTTTGGATTTTATGTGTGTTTGTTGGTGTCTTACAAAGCTTTGGTCAGAACAAAGGGATCCTATTGGAACCAATCCTATTGGTTGCAGTCAGACTCCCATGTGGTAACGCAGTCATAGCTGAGGTGGTCTGTGTTCCCAGGCTTGGTTGAATCTTGCTGGGTGATGCAATGAAGGGTAATTTCCTATTGTGTCTGAATGGCTTTGCCCTGAAGGATAATCCCATCATCCTGGAGCTGAGGTCTTTTGTCTTGTAGATAAGCACCAAAATATTTGCTGGAGGCAGGGAGCTGGGATCTGTTTCTATTTCCTTTAAGTTTTTTATTTCTCTTTTAGGGGAAGTATTCTGCCTTTGTAATATTTCCTTGACTATTTCATTCTTCTAGGAGTGGGGTGGGTGCTAACTCTCTAGAATAGAATTGTGGGTTGGAAGGGACTCTTATGGCCACGTTCATTTTGTGAATCCATGTTAAAGGAAAAAGAAGTTGTGCGTATGCTTGAAGTCATGCGTTGAACAGAATCCCACTGCTTTCACTATGTAACCAGCTCAAGGCTTTTATCTGGATTCTTCCTAATGCTTCATCATCTTACTTCTTACTGTCCTCTTTGTCTCTGAAGCTGAGCCCATATTTACAAAGCTTTGCTTTTGTCCTTCTGTTTTCACCACCTTGCAGTTTTGAATGCCACTGTAATCTGATAGTATCTGTGAAACATAGCATTTGTTTCACTGAGGTTGTTCACTGATACTAGGAGCTTGATCAGAAAAGAGAGAGAGCGGATCCCCAGTTCATGTTTGTAAGGACCTTAATGAAGCCACGAACTTTGGTTGCTTCCCCCTCCCAATCAACAGAAAACTATTTCATGCTAGTAATAGAGATGTCAGGATTGAATATATTATATTCCTTTCCTTCCATTGGACAAAATGAGAATCTTAGACACTGCATAGAAGTTTTCCAAGGGCTTGACCTAGACACCTAAGAATTATCTAACGTCCCTTCCTTGCTTCCAATTTCTAGTTTCCTTGTGTTGGAAGAAATAACCTTCCGGGTTCACTTCCAAGTGGAGAAAAAGACACTAGATTCATGAAAGTTGCTTGGAAAGAAGGTTTAATGGTGGACAGGACCACATGCCTTGGAGCTCCTGAGCGAAAAGGGAAGAGATGCTGAGAGTCCCTTGGTTTTATACCCTCTGTTGGGCCATACCTTAGTGTTTCCTGTTCCTGTGTAAGAAATGTATTCCATTGGCTGGGTCTTAGCTAGCTTTGTAGACTTTGTCTGGACAACATGGCTTCACCTGAGTGCTGGCTGATGCAATCTTGCCAGGCCATGTGGTGAGATGGGTAGAGGGCTTTGTTATGTAGAATACTCTGGCCCAGGCCGTAATGGCCCACCCATTAACAAAGGTGGGGGTGAGCTTCTGCTTCTGAGGTGAGTTTCTGCTTCTGAATTTCTACTTCTCTTTTTAGGGGAAATATTCTGCCTTTTTAGTATTTTCTAAAATATTTCATTTTTCTAGGAGAGGGGTGGGTGCTAATTTTCTACAATTGGTTCTTCCACTGGTTCAATTTTCTTTCAAATTAAAATTGTGTAATAATTGGATGTCTTGCATGAACCAAGCCAACATAGAAATCCTCATAACAATTTACATCTTCCAGAGCACTTCCATTCTCACAGTAAATATATTCCCACAGACCCAGGGCTCTGAGCACAAGGGCTTGCCTCTCTACAGCAATTAATTTTGAAAACATCACAATGAACAGCATTTTTTTCCTTTAGAAGTCTAACCATAAGGCCAGTGGAAAACCTTTGGGGAAATCAGTACATACATAAAGGTAATATCCCTTGGGGGGTGGGGAATATTAATATAACAGAGGACTGATTTCGTGGTATTAAGTCTTACCTTAAATGAAGAGCGATAAAATTATTTAACTAAAATTTCTAAACACTGCTGGCATTTTCTTATTAAAAAATCAATTAATGAAATGACTCAGACTAATCATTTTTCATTCAAATGTTTTGTCTGAATACATTTCTTCTTCTATGTTTCATCCTATGGAACATTTTTAAAGGAGCAATCGTTTAAAACCTCTAGTTTGTGAGGGAAAAAAATCGAGAAAAAGAAGGAAAATAATTCACGATTATAGTTGTTGTTGTTTTTTTTCAATTAAGAGGTATAATTGCTCCTAAAGTGCATTTACAGTCTCCAAGGAAGCATAATAGACTTTCCCATTATCTACAGCTCAGTGACATCTATAAATATATGTTAAAGACCATTTGTAGACAAAAACTGCTCTTAAACTTATGTGTGTGAGAGAGTTAAAAGGGGTAAAATATAGGCATTGAAAACAAAAACAAAAACAAGAAAAGAACTCAAGAAAAGGAAGACGGGAACATTTTTTTTTCCAATGGTACAAAGTCTTGCATGAAGTAGCACCTTTGTGAAGTGTTAAGAAAACAAATGTGAGGTTAGGTCAGCAATCATTACTCCAGTTATTAAATTCTACATAAAAATATTGGGACTACTTCAAAGAGATATTGGGCTAGCATGGACTTTAAGGAGAACATGGTTGGTGGATGAGTAGAGGCTATAAATTTGCATTGAATGTGTGACTCATTTTCTGAATATGCTTCTTCTCCCCCGCCCCTCTCTCTCACATACTAATCATCTTTTTCTATGCCTTGTTTCTGCATGATTTTATTGGGTCATTTTTAGGCCATTGTGGGTGACCCTTCTCAGAAGACAATGGCCTTATACTGTTTTTATCAGCTCCTCGGGCAGCCTGGGCTCTTATTGCCTGAATTGCAAAGGTCATATTGTGGTTTATTTATTTTAAAAAAGACTATATATAACCAATGGCTATTTTTTTTTCTTTCATTCCTTTCAAACGTTATGTTCTTAATCTGTATTGAAAGGCCCTATCCTGAAAAAAAAAAAAACAACTGGAAAGCTTTATTAAAGAGAGAATGGCAACATTCATATTTCTCTTGCAGCTTATAGATTGTGAACACAGGAATACATCATTTGTATTTTTAATTGATGCAATAACCACACTGTATATAGCCAGTGATGAACACCGCTGGTGAAGCACAGATCAAAAGGATGATGTATATGCCAAAGGGTGAACTTTGAATAGAATCAACTATCTTAGATAAAGTGAAAAAAATCCCTAGATTTGAATTGAACTTTATTTATTTATTTGTCAAACATGTACAAGATAACAAGTATAAGTTTAAACATAGACAAGAACAAGGGAGTAAATACAAATAAATGGGAACAGAAGGGACAGTAGGCACACTGGTACGCTTATGCACGCCCCCTTTAAGGACCTCTTAGGAATGGGGTGAGGTCCACGGTAGACAGTTTGAGGCTGAAGCTTTGAGGGGTTGAGGCTGTAACAACGGAGTCGGGTAGGGCATTCCAGGCATTGACAACTCTGTTGCTGAAGTTGTATTTTCTGCAATCGAGTTTGGAGTGGTTTACTTGAGTTTGTATCAGTTATTTGACTGTGTATTATTGTGATTGAAGCTGAAGAAGTCATTGATGGGCAAGATGTTATAGACAATTTTGTGAACTATGCTTAGATCGGACTGCAGGCGGCACAGTTCTAGATTGTCCAGGCCCGAAATTTCAAGCCTGGAGGCATAGGGAATTCTATTGTGAGTGGAGGAGTGGAGAACTTTTCTTGAGAAATACCTCTGAACCCGCTAGATTGGGTCAATGTCCGATATACAGTGCGGGTTCCAGGAGAGCGAGCTGTATTGGAGAATTGGTCTGGCAAAGGTTTTGTATGCCCTAATTAACAATTCAATGTGGTGACTTCTGGTGATTTCATGAATACCAAGCAGGAAATGTAAGGGAGTTTTTCATTTTCTATGCCTTAATAATGCAGAGAACCATGGTAGATGTTGTAGTATTTTGTGAGCCAACTAGATAATTCCCTTGATACAAATAAATACAAACAAAAGAAGAGCTTTGGTGTAAGACCCTTCTGTGCTCAGTGGCAACCAGATGCTTATGTATACAAGAGAGCCATGAATCCTTACTAACTGATACACATTGCTTCTGATGTTGCAGGTGAGATATTATTATCACAGCTACTAGCCATTGATAGCTTTATTATCCATGAATTTGTCTAATGCAGCTATATAACTTGTTTTCTCATAATTAATGATAGGCACAGAGCAGATGGGGAGAATGGAGAACATAAAGAAGGAAAGGTTACCTATTCCTGTCACAGCATGAAAAGAATATCTTTGTTCATACATCATAAGGCTAGAAAGTTAAAATACTTTGTTTCGGTTTATGTCATTTTAGACCTGACACTTCAGCCAGACTTCTCAGAGAACTATGTTTGCTCAGTGACCTCTACTTGTCTTGTTAGATCTGGCATGCACTGGATCCCATCTACATGAGGGCGTCATCTTGCAGGGCCTGGGAAGAGAATCTTTTCTACTATGGGATTTGCCCTGTAGGTCATCATCAGAGACTGGACTTCCTCCAACTCTGCTGGTCTTTGTTAAGGTATGGAAATATGGTTTTGCCATCAAACCTTGTGCCCTGATAGTATGGGTTTTTTTCCCCCATGTCAGAAGCACTGAAGCTCTTCTGTGGTGAAAGGATCAACCAGTGACATCACTGTTGCCTAGGGATGCCCAGTTGGGGGTTCCTTCGATGTCCTCATTAGTTGCCCACCAACTTAAAGTTGTACCCATCTGTCTATTTATGGTCACCTGCTTTCAAACTGCTGGATCAGCAAGAGTGATGAGAACTCACCCTGCCACATGGCATCAACTGGGTCTTGAACACAAGCCTATCGATTGTCAAATACCTTGTGAGCCACCACACTCCTTTAGTATGAGTGAGCTTATTTCTTGGACATGATTATGTTAAAACCTCAGGTCATGAATGCTTCTGACCATGACCAAATCGGGTGCTGACCAAAAAATCAGCTAAATGTTTCATTCTGGTTGGGAATACATCCTCAGGTGGTGATCAAACACAGCTGGGGCTATTTTCCCTGCCTCAGTGATTTCCCCTTCTGCACCCTTTTTTGTTTGTATATGCATGCGCAGTCAGTCTTGCTTCCAGTCATGACCAAATCGGGTTGTGACCAAAGTTCTGGAACAGATTACCGTCGTGACTGGAGGTTCCACTGTATTCTCAACTGCTATGTTATTTTTTGTGATTTCTGTTGTTTTTAATTTTGCTTGTTTCTAACTGTGTTTTAATTGTTTCTCCTCCAGTAGAAGATTGTCACTTGGTGTTTGATTAGGAAGAAAATCTTCTTACTATATGCTTTTAGTAAGATTTGCTCTTTACTATTGAAATAAAAAAATGTAGCTGAATTTTATCAGTTATCAAGGAAACGTGTTAACTTGACACAGTGATACTTGTTGTTCTGCCTTTTACTTAGTAACATTGCTAATTCACTTTCTTCATACTGTTAATTAAGTTCAGAAGTTACAATATGGAAATTATCCCTCTGTCCTCCCTCCCTCTCTCCCTCCCTCCTCCTGTCCCTCATGATCCTACTTCCAGTCCTTTCTTTTTGAACATTTAATCATTTTAAAAGCCCTGACATTCTATGTTCTTCTGGTTAGAATTATGTTTAATTCATTTATTATTTCCTTTTACCTTGAGGCAAATTCAACCTCAGACCAGTTGTGTATACTCCAGTATAATAAACAATCACAACACCATAGTAATAATAATGATTTATCACGTGCTACATCAAAAACCAGTGTAGATCATTTGTATCTACGTAGAAAAAAATAGTGGTTGTGGTTTATGGCAAATGAATGGAGTGGAAAATTTAATCAAAGTCTAAATGGTTACATGAAGCAAGTAAAGTGAAGATGTTTATAAATGTCTACAAGGAAAACATTTTTGGATGTGACAAAAGCAAAAGCAACATGCAACATTGAACACTTACATTGACGAACCAAAGTGTGGCTTTGGTTTCCATATTAAATAGGTTCAGTGTAGAGTGGTTTTCTTGAATGTGTGGGTGTAATGATGACAAGAATTAACATAATAGAGGAACTGTAGTTCTCTATAACATATAATGATGAATATTAAAGATTAACATTCAATATTTAATAATATTTAAGATAATTTAGTAGCTCTGCATTCATCTTGCCAGGCAATCAGATGGACCTAGGGAAGTCTAAGTTGGGCTTCTCATGTAATGTGATATATGTAGAATCATAGGGGGTGGGGTGGGGAAGGAAGCTTAGAGGTCTTCTAGTCCAACCCCCTTACCTAAGGCAGGAGTTCTTATACCATGCTGGACAAATAGTTGTCCAATCTTTTCTTAAATACCTCCATTTTTCATAACTTGCCTCCACTGCTCCTGAAAGCAAGCTATTTGATTGGTTAATTGTCAGGAAATTTCTCCTTAGTTCTAAGTTGGATGTCTCCTTAACAAGCTTCAACCCATTACTTCTTGTTGTATCTTCAGGTACTTTGGAAAATAAATCAATCCATTCTTTTCTGTCACAGCTCCTTAAGTATTAGAAGACAGCTATTATGTCAGCCCTGATCCTTATCTTCGTTACGCTATACACACCTTGGTCTCTTAACTATTCATCAAACATTTTAACCTCCAGACCCTTTATCATCTCTGTTGCTTTTCTCTGCATTCTTACTAAGGTTTTATCATCTTGTTTGCATCCTGGCAACTAGAACTGGGTGCGTTGTAGACTCACTAGTGCAACATAGAGTAGTATTATCACTTCTCGTGATCTTGATGCTATTCCTCTGTTGATGCAGCCTAGAATTTCATTGGCTTTTTTTGACATTGGTAACACACTGTTAGCTCATACTTCAGTGGTGGCCCACTAGGACACTTAGGTTTATCTCTTCTCACCACTAAACTGCCTCCTGTTGGAGGGCATAGTTTATTGGGCTCCATTTGTTGCATTCTATTAGGTTCTGCAGCTGGATCTCCTGTTGCTTTATATTTAGCAAGGTGACTAATAATTTGTGCTATCAAGAAGATAGATGGATGGATGGATGGATGGATGGATGGATGGATAGATAGATAGATAGATAGATAGATAGATAGATAGATAGATAGAT